GTCCAGTAGCACCTTAGAGACCAACTAACTTTGTTCTGGCTATAAGCTTTCGTGTGCGTGCAAAACAAACTTAGAACTTAGTTTGTCTCTAAGGTGCTACTGGACAATTTTTAATTTATTTTTTTTTTATTTCCACTAGATGCAAATTCAGTCTTCTGTTCTTGTTTACGGGATATGCATACTGAATTTGCAGTGCAGGATTCCTAAATTGTGCTTTTATTAACAGAAGCTCTTGAGTTGTATCTCATTGTATGTTTTTTTGATATATTGCGATCCACCCTGTGACCACATGGCAGGATAAAAAAACTCCCAAATAAATAAATAAAGTTACAATGGCACGCGTTCTCACGCTTTGAAGGCATAGTCTCTCAGAAATCAGGAATGCTACACCAGCATGCCAAACCACTGGGTAAGCAGAATCCAGCTGCTGAACTTTTCAAACATATTCGCAAATGCCTCAGAGTTTGATCTGGATTTAAGATGACAATCTCTTACTCTCCAAGTGACAGAAATAGCCCTCATTACGCTACAGTGAAGATGCTTCATAATCTTGAAGTAGCTGTAAGATTTTAAGATACAAAGATTAGGTTCTCAGAGCAAGCTCAGTAGCATACACCCTTAAGGAAGAACTTCTGTATCTCTTTCCAATACCAACTACCCCAGAGTAAAATATAGCTGTGGCACCCAAGATTGACCAAGATTAAGGTGCCCCTCCTCCCCAGCTCCTAGGCACATCTCAGTTTTGTAATAAACAATTAGAGAAGTCAGCCTGAACCATTTCAGAGGTAGATTAGTAAAGCTTTAATGGACAGATCTGGTTTCTTTAATTTTGTGCCAAATATGATCCGAAACAAGCTCTTTCATTTTGAGTCCAAAGTTAGCAGGTACATTGCATGTCATAGTGAAAGCACTTCTGCTAACCACTTCTGCTTTTCCATTTAGCAATAAAAACTGGAACAAATACATTTCTGACCATTCGTCTATCTGGCTCAGTACTATCTACATCAAGGGCGGGCAGGAAGCAGATAAGAGATCTACTGGTAGATCTCTGGGTGATTTCCTATAGGATTTATGACTTCCAGTTTTTTTAAAAAACAACAACAAATAAATCTGCCCACCCCCCAAAAATACTTTTTTTGCTGCAGAAAGAAAGAAAGAAAGAAAGAAAGAAAGAAAGAAAGAAAGAAAGAAAGAAAGAAAGAAGATGATGACAGCCAGGGGGCAGTAACCATTTTTTTTTTAATGATGAAGGACGACGAGCTCAGCTCAGTTCTGGTACTCACAGCAAATTCATGGGCTCAGAATCCCTTAATTCTAGGTACATGTCTTTTGTACCTACTCCCAGTTGGTAGATCTCAGGGCTTACATCCTGCAAGTCTAAATGCTGCCCACCTTGGTTCACACTGACTGGCAATGGCTCTCCAAGGTTTCACAAAGGAATCTTTCACGGCCCTATCTGAAGATACCAGGGATTGAATCTTTTTGGATTCAGCCCATGTGCTCTACCAACTGAGCTACATCCCTCCCCCTTGAGGACAGCTCCTGAAGGATAATATGGCTGGTGGTATCATATGCCAATGAGAGGTTCAGCAGAACCAACAGGCATGTGCTTCCTCTGTCCAGTTCCTGCATAGTTCAGAATCAGGCCTGAACTCATATAGGAAAGAATTCAGATAGTGAGCTTCATCCAAGAAAGGCAAGAGGTTGTTTGCCACGTTCCAGGACCTTAATCAAGAACAGAACAGTGGACACAGTCTGAGAATTATCTAGGGCAATGGGATCCAATAATGCCTTTTTCAACAGTGGTCTCACCACAGCCTTCACACCTCTAGGCTTTATCATCACAAGTGAACTAACTCTTCTACCCGCTGCAATATTTTATGGTCTCCTTGCTTGTACTTTTTGTCTCTCTCTCTTTCTGTTCGTACTTTAATGGCATTTCCAAAACAGCACTCCCTTATACTATTGCTCTTTCGTAAGTGTCTCATGGCTCGTCCACAGCCACTGCTAAAGTCCTATTTATCCTAAGGCTTTTATCATTTGTTCCAGGGCCAACTCAGCATCTAATCTCCCTCTTCTTCAGACAATGTCTCGAACGTGTTCCTCAGTTCAACTTGGATGTGCTTCACAGGACATATTGTTCCCCTAGTCAGCTTCTGTGTTTCTTTGCTCCTTTCTTGTGGCATTTTTATTCTCAGTTTGGCGTTGTCTTGATGGCAGCTCCTCAATAGCATGCAATGTTTTTGTAGCATCATGATAATTAATACATGGCCTTTATGTAGTACTTAATTCCAAAGGGCTCAAAGCTTATCAAAATTACTTACATATTAATAAGAAGCAGCACTACGACCTTGATTATTTATAAAGAGCTTAAAACTATACTGGGCCCTGTAGAATAGCTCCGTGAAAAAGCATTCCTTGCCAAAGGCTTACAACTTAACAATGCAACATAAGAACAGGGAGAGAAAAGAGCAATCTTAAGAAGAACAGCTCATAATTGCAGTTAAAAGAAGGGCTAGTTGTTTAGTGACTATTTATCTACATTAGCTCAGCAATACTTAACAACAAGCCTTAAGGCCGACTAGTGTTAACATAGCTATTTTACCCATGCTAAGGATGGAAATGAGCTGCTGCCGAAAGGTAGGCAATAGAACCATCCCCAACCCTATATCCTTCAAATGATTTGGATGCAAACTCCTATCATCTTCAGCCAGCATGGCCAATGGTCAGGGATGATGAGAGCTGCAATACAACATCACCTGATGGTTGGAGACTCCTGCACTAAGGACCACAACCGGTGAGTTCATGACTGGTGTACGATGTAACGGATGTAAGGGACTTGCAGAGCATAGTTCATGCTTTTAGCTACCAGATTCCCCTAAAATAGCTTTCCACCTTGGATAAATCTTCCAACTTTCAGCTTGGGTAAATCATAGAATTGTAGACTTGGAAGGGACCCTGGAGATCCTTTAGTCCAACCCCCTGCAATGCAGGAAACCCAACTAAAGCATCCATGACAGATGGCCATCCAACCACTGCTTTAAAACCTCCCAAGAAGAAAAGCCCACAACCTCCCAAGGTAGTCTGTTCCACTGTTGAAGAGCTCTTATTGTCAGAAAATTCTTTCTCATGTTTCGTTGGAATCTCCTTTCTTGTAACTTGAAGCCATGGGTGTGGGTCCTACCCTCCAGGAGAAAACAAGCTTGCTCCATCTTTCATGTGACAGCCCTTTGGATATTTGACAATGGCTACCCTATCACCTCTCAGTCTCATTTTATCCAGGCTAAACATATCCAACTCCCTCAATTGTTCCTCAGAAGACTTGAAGGAAAAGCCATCGCTCTCTTCTCCTTTCAGTTGACAATGTAAACAAAACTTGACTTCCTCATGCAACATAAAATCCACTATAGCCTCATTTGGACAAAATGCAAAACACCTGAACAGACCTCAAGGTGAAGCACTCCCACTTCCTTTTCCACCCCTTCAAGACACTCACGATGGGGAGACAGCTATTATGTGATAACCCGACCAAACTGTGATCTGTGTTAACTATAGTTAAGGGATCAAACTGTGGTTTATGATCCTGTCTTCTTTGGTTAAGCCATAGCTAAGATCAAGCACAATCTGGAGACTGTCATAAAAATAAACCAAAGTTAGTTGAAACTAAGTGGAGGCTTTTGATCTTCTCTTCACAATTGTACCAGAGGAGTGAGGACACGAGTCCAAGGCTCATTCATGTAAAACTAAACCATAGTTTAGTGTTACACATCCATACCAGATCTATGTCTATTATTCCCAGTCTCTTTTCCCTGCAGGACTCCTTCTTGTGTTCTGTTACGATAGCCTACTTTCCTATTGCCTATCATTTATCGTCTTTTGCTAACTGTCAGTCACACGTTTGGAGACAGCTGCAGAATGCTTCTTCGATTCCATACCTCTTCCAAGACCTTCAGCTGAGCAATATTTTGTATACACTAACAAGTCAAGCATAACCTCCATGCATCTGCCTACAGAGAACTGTGAAATCTGGGGAGCTACACACAGTGTATCTGCTTCTGAAAGCGAGAGAGAAGCAATGGCTATATCTAGGCCAACTCCTGCCATAGGACACTATTAAACTGGGGGTGAAAGTTCTCTCTAAAATCAAGGAAACCTAAAAAATAAAAAAGCAAGCAAAAAAGCCCCTTATGAGCTCTTCACACCATAAATTCTTAACTTTATGATACTGGGTCTTGTTTATAAGAACTCTGTGCCCCTGCCTGTAAATTCTGCCTTCTCTGCTTTTGTGTATTTTTTAATAATGATCTAATTCATCAGACCTCACACACAACCCGGTTGGTGCCTCTGAATTTTCTCCAGCTGCTCACATCCTTATGATAAGCATCTCCCTGGCTGTTGACACAGAGTCCATGAGAAAAACAGATGGCTGCATGCCTGCTGCTATGGCTGCCGTTAGGAACATGGAAACTGATTTATATCAGGTCAGACTATTGGTCCTTCTAGCTCAGTATTGTCTGGCAGGTGCTCTCCATGGTTTCAGGCAAAACTCTCTCCTAGGTCAACCTGGAGATGCCGGGGATTGAACCCAAGACCTTCTGCATGCAAAGCAGATGCTCTCCCACCAAGCCACATAAAGCTTGCTGAGTGACCTTGGGCCAGTCACTGCCTCTCAGCCTAACCTCTCTCACAGGATTGTGTGGAGATCCTTGAGCTCCTTAGAGACAAATGGTGAGATATAAATGCAATAAATAAACAAATTCCCCCAAGCACAGCAATGGTTGGGTCTGGAGAGAACAGATCCCCCTGCGAACTAGATTAGCTCTCAGACAAGACCTGGTTCGTTCTCTGCAAAACAGCCTGCACCGTCCCTTCTCCCTCTTACAGCACATTTGCTTCACTGAATCAGAATGAGCACTGGAAAGAAAGGGTGTGTTTTATCTGAACAATTAATAAGTACACAAGAATACAGTTCCTTTTCCCCATTGTTATGAGGTACTCACCTAAAGAAACAACAGCAACACTCTCTGGCATGAAATGCAGCCTGAATCTTATCAATAAATGCACCAATATGATGCAGATACCTGGCAGGGAAACAAAACAACATTTAGGTACAGGATGAACAGCAGTTACACAGCACAATTCAAACAAATTGTGTGATTCCCTTTGGAAATTAAAAAAAAAATGCAAAGCCAAAAAAAGATGTAGTAGCAATGGACTTGAGAAATAGCAAATATTGCCAGAACAGGGACAAGTGCATTAAAAGATGAAATAGTAGGTTTTACAGTGTTGTGCGGGTTTTTTATTTTTAAGAAAATCTCCTTCAGTATCCCCCAGGTGGATAGAATCATTCTTGATGACTTGACTACAAAGAACCATGCATGACAGTGCACCTGCGTAACAGGGCTTTCGAGACTCAAGTTCCCTAAAAAGTCCTGATCCTAAACACATTGGCACAAATCTTAAGATAAATGAAGAAGCTTACAGAAGGCACATTTCTCTTCTCCTCTTGCAGCCACCTGTGTGCCCCCAAAACCTCACTGGAGAGTCAGGAGAGCTCCACTAAACAATTTGGAATAAGGTGAGGGAGCTCTTTGGGGAGATGGGAAAAGGAAATATTCCTTCTATGAACTTCCTTTAGTTAACTTTTCTTAGGAGCCAGCCCGATTTTGGTCAATTATCTTCATCTCACATTGCTTAGGAAGACATCCCGACACTCCCAAGATTGGTGACTGCAGGGGAATCAGGGGGTAGAAAACTTTCCTTTCCACTGTCTTCTGTAAAATAACTTACCTTAGGATGCCAGCTGTTTACATGGCCATTAATCCAATGGATTTCAGTAGAACTTACCTTACAGGTAAAACATACTCAGATATTAAACTGATAAGAACAGATGCAACACTTGATCTTAGCCAAAAGGCCAAGAACCTCTTGATACTATCCCTATCAGTGCCGCAGAAGTGCCATTGCTGTGGTGGACTGTCCAAATCTGGTATCTGGCATTTACAAACTGGGCAAGGACAACTGGCCCACTAGTGCATTGGTCTGCAAATGGTAGTTCAGGACCCATAACCAGGTCACAGGTAGATGGATAGAAACAAAGCATTAAAAATGGCTCCCCAAATACAGATTTGGGCTGAAAGGGGTCCCAGGGCTGAAAATGTTGAAGACTACTACTCTGATAAGCGGGGTACATGGGAGTGCTCAGATCCGTTCCCCCAAATCTCTCAGTTGTGATTTGGAGCAGTTATTAGGAGGAACAGTCTTGTCCAAGCAGAACAAGAGGCTCTTGCTGCTTCTTAACGTCTTCATACCTCAGTGCAAATGAAAGTCTCTCTGCTAGTCCCTCTGTCCACTTCAAGGGGATTCTGTGAAGAGCAGAAGGCTGGTGGCAACCATAAAAAAAATGGCTGGCTAATCCACCAAGCCAGCCTTTGCGGACTCCCCAGCCCACGTGTTTATTTTGTGCCAGCTAGTTATAGTTCTGTTGTTACGGTTGTAGTAGCTGGACAGTTAATGGCACAAAACCACTACTTGGGGTAGGGGTGGGTAGTAGCAGGTAGATGGCACTCGCAGTACTGGCTGCTTCCAGGACAGTTTTTAATACAGTCCAGATCTTAGTTTATATTAGTATATTTTGCTAGAAAAGGGAGGGAAAGAATCTTCCATCACTCCAAAGCAACCTTTTAAATTCTTTGTGATGTTTAGACTTTGAGTTGCATTATCTTCTGCCCTTTCCTTTGGCTTGGAACTTTCATTTTTATGACTACTTAAACATCAAGTTAGCCTTGGATGCAAGGCAGATGCTGGTTTCCTCTAAAGACAAAGGGCTGTTTTGCACAAACAAGGAATGTTCGTTTATTTGGAATAAAAACTATCTCAATTTTATTGCCTTCTTTTGCTTTGCTTAAAGTCTCTTGGCACTTTATCATAGGATCTGCCTCCCTGTGCTTATACAAAATGTCTACGGTATTGCAAACAACCCTGTACTTTCTCACACGAAGTGAATATTCTTATTACAGCAGACGTCTAAAAGATCACAGAAAACTGTCCAACGTTTGTGTTTTTCTGGAGAGGACATGCACACACACGCACACTTGCAATTAATAAAGAAAAACCTGAAGTTGACACGGCTCTGTTTCAGAGTGGCATTCCCGGCAGAATGCACACACCAAGTGCCAACCTTTCCCGGTCTCCAACCAGCACACAAGGTGGAGCGCACAGGACCATCTCCACAGGTACGCTATGTAAGAACACAAGAGTCCTGAAGAATCAGCTCACCTAGTCCAACATCCCGGCCAACAAGGTAACTCCAGGAAGCTCACAAGCAAAGTATGAAGGCAGCAGTCCCTGACGCCCCAATATTCCCACCAAGTGACAGGTGTTTAGCAGGAAACTACCTTTGCGCATGGGAGCTGCATAAAGCAGGGGTGGGGAACGTCTGTCCCATGGGCTAAATGTGGCCTTGCAACTCCTCTGTCTGTGGCCGGGTGTCCACACACTTATCAGCAAGGGTCTTCAAAGGCAACCCTTGCCCTAAGAGATCACAACTCAGTGGCAGAACACATGGTGTGCATGCAGAAAGCCCCACATTCAGCCCTTTCTATCTCTAGTTAAAAAGATCAGGTAGCAGTGTTGTGCTCAAGTTCAGCCAGATACCCTAGAGAACCATTGCCAAAGTAGACAATACTAGGTGTGATGGATGGCCTATGGCAGGTTCCTCTAGCCTAGTACAAATATGTTATCACCATCAACACAGAAAGGTACATGACTTTGGAGAGCGGAAAATGCCAGTTGGGCAATACTATCTCAATCTATTGCAATTAAATTTGCCAAACGCCTTCTGCATGCCCTGCAGATGTTGCAGGACTCCAACTCTCATTAGCCCTACCAGCAGGGCCAATGATCAGCGACACTGGGAGATGTAGTCCAGCAACATCTGGAGGGCCTTGGGTTCTCTTTTCCCTGCTTTAGGGCAGCAGCATCTTGTCCAGCCCTCCCACTCCCTTCTGCTTAGCACAAACCTGAAGAAGAGCTCTCCAGAACTCAAAAGATTTGCTCACTACTTTGTGAGACATTTGTTGGTGCTAACAGAGCTATTCTTCTTCTGCGATGGCATGAATACTAGTGAACAAATGACTGTGGGCCCTGCAGTACCCAGAAAAGCATGACAGCGAGGATGCAATGGAAGCAGCAAAGTGTGTCTTCTTCACTGCCACTGAGCAAGCTCAATAATGAGCATTCACTGTCATTCCATCCCAGTCTTCTGGAGTTTTCCTCACATGAATTCAAGCAGAATCCCAGTTAGTTTCATTGCCGTCAACACTGGTATATACCAACAAGTCTCCCACCAAGTGGGATAGGGGCATCCATATATTCCACAGATCAACCAGGGCTTCAGCAAGACAGCCAGTCATATTATCTGGAAAAATTTCCCAAAGCCATTTGGAAACTAAACGAATCTATCAGCCTCTGAGGGCAGATCATCCTAACAGGTCCCTAATATCTCATGGGCTTGTGTAAATACAACAATCCACATAGAGAATCGCCCAGTTCATATGCACTAAATAAGCATGCAAACAAAAACCATGCAAAAACTCAAAGGAGCAAAAAAGTTTACTAATGCTCCACACTGAAATAAAGCTAGTGATTGGGACGGGGAGGAGAAAAGAAAGTACTATGAGATATTTTCTCAACTATTATTTGACTTCAGACCCTCAGAAGCAGACTAGTTTGCTTGTTTTCTAAGGATCAGAAACATAATACCAGGGACCATTCTTGACTGGAATAGCAAACATGGAAATGAATTCGAAGTGAGGGTGGCCTGTGAACAGTGAAACAGGGGACTTGGGTAACAGAGATGTTTAGGCTACCCATGTTCCTATGTTTCCACTTGTCCACCTGCATTTGCTCCGGCGAGCAGCCAAGAGTAACTGATCAGAAAGTCTTGGATGCTCATTCACCTAATACAAGAAGACTAAAGAATATAGTCATGCCGCTTGACTGCTCCTCTTGTTGAGCTTGCACCCCAGTTTGCACTGGAAGGATAGGCTTGGCAGGTGTAGGAAGCACCAGCTTCGTGGTGAGCGCCAGCGTGGTGTGGAGGGTGGCATTGAGCACTTCGTGGGTAGCGTTTGAGAACCTGTAAGATAAAACACACCCAGGTCAGACTGAGGAGACACTCAGCTGGTTTTCCTCCAGCAGGAATCATTACTGAATGACTCACTGAAAGCTAAAAACTCATTTTCAAGTTATGCTTTCAGTTCAGCCATCCTTGATATAATAAACACGGCAAAATGGTGTTAATCCTGGTCCACATACTGAACTACCTACACTCAGCTGCATGCACTAAAAACAAGGTTAGGAACATGCGATGTTGCCTAAGACCACAGACCAGTATTCTTCAACCATGAGTCCACCATATGTTGCCGGGCTGCGACTTCCATCATCCTGGACCACTGGCACAGCTGGATCAGATTTGTAGTCCAGTAACACCCAAGGAGCCAAGGTTAAAGAACACTGATATAGACCAGGCATAGGCAAACTCTGCCCTCCAGATGTTTTGGGACTACAACTCCCATCATCCCTGGCTGGCAGGACCAGTGGTCAGGGATGATGGGAGTTGTAGTCCCAAAGCATCTGGCGGGCCAAGTTTCCCTATGCCTGGTATAGACAATTTGTCAATTTAGTCCATTGCTGAAGTTTCAGAGGAGGATCAGACCTCCGAGTTTTCAGGAAAAGGTCATTCCCCATCCGCTGCAGACACCTGAACCTTTTAACTAGACATGCCAGAGACTGAACCTGGGATGTTATACATGCAAAGCACTATCTCTGAATTACAGTGGTGCCTCGCAAAACGAAATTAATTCGTTCCGCGAGTTTTGTCGTCTTGCGATTTTTTTCGTCTTGTGAAGCACGGTGTCGGAAAAGTTTTGGAAAAGCTTCAAAAATCACCAAAGTCTTTAAAAACCTCAAAAAAGGCTACCACACCGCGTTCTATGAGTTGCTCCTCGAAGTCAAGTCGCAACTGTATTAACGGTGTTAAGAAAAAGGAAACAAACTTGCAAGACGTTTCCGTCTTGCGAAGCAAGCCCATAGGGAAAATCGTCTTGCGAAGCAGCTCAAAAAACCCTTTCGTCTAGCGAGTTTTTTGTCTTGCGAGGCATTCGTCTTGCGAGGTACCACTGTACTCTCACCCCCACCAATGATTTAGTACACAGTAAATGTTCACTGGATAAAGTTTTTTTTCCCCATTATCCCCCCAAAAATTGTGAAAATGTGGGCACCTGTCAGAGACCCTAGTGTCCTGCACTTCTGCTCTGAATGAACATGTGTCAGATGCCACAATAGAGTATTCAGTAAGAAGCTACACTGAAATTAAGTGCTCATTAAGTACATGTTCCTATATACGTGTATGTTGCCTCGGGTATGCGAGGTGACATGTTTTGCTGCTTTAAATTTTCTGCTGTGCAGCACTGAGCCTGCCTAGACAAAAAACAAATTAAAGATGCCAAAGGAAGATGGGGTGTGTGGGTGTGGGTGTTTTAAAGGGCTCTCTGCTCATGAATAGTCAGCAGCTTTCAAGGACTGGCTAGTGTTCCCTGCAGGATCAGGTCCCTTTGGACAAAGAGGAGGAGGAGCTGGATCTTCACAGGAGTGAGGAGGTGATTTGGGGAAAGCTGCTGATGGAGACAGAATGTATTTCAGCAAGGTATATGGTCAGTTCTAGAAAGGCAGCCACAAAAGGAGGTAAGTGCAGGAAGAAAAGGAGTTAGCAGGGTTTGTGAAAGTGAGATATCGGGAAAGGGCCAGCTGAGGCAAGATGCAAAGCAAAACATAACAAGAACAGGCAAAAGCCAGGAGAGAGGCTACAGTAAATGCTTTGCTGCACAGAGCAAAGGCTGCCAAGAGGAAGTTTATACAGGGACAAAAAAGGGCATTCACAAATCAAAGAGGGGAGTGGTGGAACTGGGCAAAGAGCCAGCAGAAGTAGCTGGGCCCCAGGAGACCTGTGATTTTCCAGAGATTCAGTGCCTTAAGGAGCAAGGCTTAAGCCCAACTGCACAAGGTCCAGCAACTGAGGACCATGACAGCATTTAGGGAGGAAAAGCTGGAAGGACATTAAAAAACACACAAAAAAAAACCCCTGTGTCTGAGGTTATACCTGCCAGCCTTGGATGAAAATCTTCCCCATGTGATGCAAAAAAAGACCCCACCCACAATTTGCAGAAAGCAGGATACAGCAGAAAGCAAGCAGGAGTATTGGTGGTAGGGATGTCCCAGAATGCTTCAATTACATGGCAGTATTGTGATGAATGAGCAGCTATGCACCTTGCTTGGCACCCTTGTTCTACTTCTTTGAGAGGGAAGAGACAACCACGTTGATCCTTGGACTTAAACCTCGTAAGAGAGGGTAGATGCCTTAGGGTACCTTCATGCAACTAGTATCTTAAACAGCTCAGGACCACAATACCTCAAAGACCGCCTCTCCCTGTATAAACTAGCTCAGACTCTGCGATCATCCTCTAAGGCCCTTCTTTGTGTTCCTCCCCCATGGGAGGACAGGAGGCTGCCAACATAAGAATGGGCCATGAGAACCATGAGAACTTTTCCTTTTCTGGAATGGCTGCCTGCTTGTGGAATGCCTCCCCAAGGATGGTTATCTGGCATCTTCATTACACATCTTTAGGTGCCAGGCAAAAGCCTTCCTCTTCAACCAGGCCTTTGGCTGATTAACAGTCTTTGTCCTTTTGTGAAAGGGGGGAGGTTATTGGCTTGTTTTGTTTTTATGATGTACTCTGTGGTTTTCTTCTGTATTTTTATGCTGTGAACTGCCCTGAGATCTTCGGATGAAGGGCAATATAAAAATTTAAGAAATGAAATCAATCAATCAATCAATCAATTTCTAAGCGCGCTGAGAATGTCAGAGGCCTTCTCAAGTGTGAGTTAAAAGCAGCTAGGCCAGGCATGTCCAAAGTCCGTTTCGGGGGCCTAATCCGGCCCCTGTGGCAGTTTATTTCCTGGGGTAAAATCCTAAAAAACCCTCAACAACTTCAACCCTAAAAAAAGCTCAGCATCTTCAGCTGGCCCTTTGGCTGGCCCTCACGGCCCTTCACTTCATCAAATCTGGCCCTCTTTGAAAAAAGTTTGGACACCACTGAGCTAGGCCAAGTTGGTGAGAAATTGAGAATGTGACAGTCTTGGATGATGAGGCAGGCAGGGGTGCGGATGTGGATCATGCGCTTTGTGATAATGATGACTGGGAGGGGAGGGTGGTCTTGTGCTACCTAAACAACACAGAAAGACCCCAAGGGAACCTGAAGGAAGCAGAAGATAAAGGGGAGTGAGAAGACTTATACGAGTTCCTGCCAAGATGGAAATAATGGGCAATTATTGCTAGACACAATGGGCTCCTCAAAACATCCTTTTTATGCTACATCAAATGTTGTTTTGTGTTTATGATGGTATTGGGGAGGTTATATATGATTCCTCTTTCAATACTGCTTTAGGCCAGCAAATGTTTTGGGGTGGACATTCTGTTTTGTTTCCAATCAGTGCATGCTCCATACTTTCCTGTTGAAATCCTGTAACTTTTTGTTCCACTTTTATTGCACTATAGTACAATAATGCCCCTCCAAATGGCAATCACATAACCTTGGGGAATTATTGCAGAACAAGCAATAAAGTGGAATGGTTTGTGGACAGTCCAGTGTAAATCTATCACTAATGCAATATTATTAAATCGGTGGCATGTTGCAGAATATACCTGCAAAAACCCATCAGTCTGAAGGGGGAAAATACATGTTGAATTATTATGGTGCCGTTATATATTCAAGTATTCAACAAGACAGGAGTATTTGGTATATTGTCATGGACATGGCAAAAACAAATAATAGCACATGATGACAAATGGACTCTAGCATTAGGTACTGGATTAAAAGAAGACATGGACTGCAGGATATCATAAGCTTTTATCTATAAAAGGTAAAAATAACTGGGACCTACAATAAAATGTTGCAGTACATTTCTCATTACCACCTATCCAACAGTTAATCAGCATTCTGTGCCCACTGCAGTGGAGTAGGGATGGGCAAAGGGAAAAATGAATTTATTTCACAACAGGAATTATGGTGTCATATCTTGAGCCACTATATGCAAAACCTCAGCATGTCACAAGCTTTCCTCAAGAGAGAAACCCACCAAATAAGCTAAGGAAACAAAGAAGTAGGTTTAGATTGCACAGCATGATTGCCTAAGAGTTAAACTGCCACTTTTAGTATAAAAAATGCCCAAGTCTTTTTTGGGGGGGTGGCTTATAGGTATTTTTAAAATATAGTTTGTGCTTCTGCAAGCTTGGGGAGGCGTTCCCCAAAGCCTGCTGATACCTCCTTTCATGTGTTTAGTGCTGTTTGGGTAATATAAGGGCCCATGCTCAAAGGAGGATACCTGGTAAAGGTAAAGGACCCCTGACAGTTAAGTCCAGTTGCGGCGCTCATCTCGCTTTATTGGCTGAGGGAGCTGATGTTTGTCCGCAGACAGTCATGTGACCAGCATGACTAAGCCGCTTCTGGCAAAACCAGAGCAGCACACGGAAACGCCACTTACCTTCCCGCTGGAGCAGTATCTATTTATCTACTTGCACTGGTGTGCTTTCAAACTGCTAGGTTGGCAGGAGCTGGGACATAGCAACGGGAGCTCACCCTGTTCGAACCGCCAACCTTCCGATCGGCAAGCCCTAGGCTCAGTGGTTTAGACCACAGTGCCACCCGCCTCCCTGAGGATACCTGACTCATGTTTAAATGTTTTTGACTCTTTTGATACTGTTTGTATTGCTTTTGTTTTGCATTGTCTGCTGCCCTGGGTTTCTTTGGGAAGAAAGTCAGGATAACATAAGAGTGAGAAAATAAAATAAACCATAAATAATAAGCAAAGAAAGCTGCTGTTCCCTTTTTTATTATCTCTACAGTTTGAAAGCCTGCTTCTGAAGACTGGGAACTCTGGTCTACTCTTGCTGTGATCAGCAGCAGGCAAAATAAAGGATCATGAATGGAAGGAGAAAAGAATAGATAACCCATGGAGATGTAGCAAACTAATGAATCTGTAATAGGATGTCAATGAAAGATAGGTTGGGAAGTCTGTATTAGATCTGATAGGATGGGAAAAGGTATGTATAATGTATGCTGGAAAATGCATAACTAAAAATAAATTTAAAAAACTGATCTCACACAAGACTTCTCTGAGGTTTGCAAGCAGAGCCCTGAGGCATCCCTAGGCCCACATTTAAAGAAAATTGAGAATGATTTACAATGCCCACATCACATCAGGTGAAGCATTATTCTGGCAGCTTGGTGAAGCTTTGCTGGAGTGGTGGGGGACGGGCACATGTGGGGCAGGGAGAATCTTCCAAAGCTTGGCATACATTCAAATCCTACATTTGTAGCTTTCTGCTAAACTATCAAGCCTGTAATCTGCCGCTTCTTCGTTTTTCCTGCCCAAGCTCATATGCCAACCTGCCATTTGCCAACAAACTTATGAGATGTCCACACTTTCCCCAAAGATTCTTAGTAATGGCTTTGCTCACCCCTCCAGCCACAACCTGAAGGACACAACTTGGGGATGATGGTTCTCTGGTCTCTTTCTTTTTCTACACTTATGTAAATCGTATCATTTATATAAAATCCTTACTGCTGTTTGATATTTGACAGCTATTTACCTAAGTCCTTTACTGTGAATATCTTCAGAGACTCTTAATAAAAGAATGTTACAAACCATTATTTTTTTAAAAAAGTTATATTTTCTTTTTCTTTCTTAAACTTGCACACTACATGCAAAGGAACCTCTAATGTAAAAATGAGAGAGGGGGGATAGAGTGGATTTCTGGGCTATGCCACCTTAATTTACCAATCCCAGCTCAGCTGGGATCCAGTTTGCTGAGCCATGGCTGAAAAAGAAGTACTCCTTGGGAATGTGGCATGGGTGGGACCAAAGAGAGGTGACAGGCTGAATCCTATGCCTGTTTAATTTAGTCACATGACATGGCAACCCAGCGCCCAGTTAAGCCAGAAACACAATTAAGCCAACAAAGAGAGTGTAAACTCAAACACTATTTTATAGGCTTGTTTTCCATCTGCCAGACTTAGACCAGCTCAGCCAGCAACAGCCCTGCTCCTGAATGGAGGTTGGATCTGGTGTACAGTGGTACCTCTGGTTACGAACTTTATTCATTCTGGAGGTCTGTTCTTAAGCTGAAACTGTTCTTATCCTGAGGCACGCTTTCGCTATTGGGGGCTCCTGCTGCGCACGCGCCTCTGGTATGCGATTTCTGTTCGCATCCTGGGGCAAAGTTCACAACCAGGAGCAGCTACTTCTGGGTTAGCAGAGCTCGTAACCTGAAGTGTTCATAACCAGAGGTACCACTGTACTTTATGCCAGCTCAATTTATACCATCAGCTGTATACAGGATTGTTCCCTTAACCACTTATTTGTGAAACAGTTGTGAAGTGCATCAGTGTGTGAACTACGGTAGGTCCACAAGTTGTTGTCCCTCATCCTAACTAACCTCAAAAAACTCTAGCAAACAGTGTGTCAACATAAAGAAATTCAAGTGGGGAGTAGCAATATTTTGCTGGGGGGGGGGGAGAGAGAAGGAAAAACAAGTCAACTTGCTATCCCCCTTCACTTTTCTTACAACTACTTGACACAAGATGTACTGGTGACCATCAGCTTGGATTACTTTGAAAGATTACACAAATTAACGGAGGACAAGGCTAACAAGCCACAATGGCTATGTTCTTTCTCTAATGTTGAAGGCAGTACACCTCTGACTATTACTTGCTAGGAATCACTGTGAGTAGAGGATGTGGGATTATAATGAGGCTTTGATCCACCAGGGCTTTTCTTATGTTTTGATAGGTTCTCTGGCTCCATCAGCATCTTAAAAAGCAGAGACATCATCACCTTGCCAACAAAGGTCCGTATAGTTAAAGCCATGGTTTTCCCAGTAGTGATGTATGGAAGTGAGAGCTGGACCATAAAGAAGGCTGATCACCGAAGAATTGATGCTTTTGAATTATGGTGCTGGAGGAGACTCTTGAGAGTCCCATGGACTAAAAGAAGATCAAACGTATCTATTCTTAAGGAAATCAGCCCTGAGTGCTCACTGGAAGGACAGATCGTGAAGCTGAGGCTCCAATACTTTGGCCACCTCATGAGAAGAGAAGACTCCCTGGAAAAGACCCTGATGTTGGGAAAGATGGAGGGCACAAGGAGAAGGGGACGACAGAGGACGAGATGGTTGGACAGTGTTCTCGAAGCTACAAACGTGAGTCTGACCAAACTGCGGGAGGCAGTGGAAGACAGGAGTGCCTGGCGTGCTCTGGTTCATGGGGTCACGAAGAGTTGGACACGACTAAACGACTAAACAACAACAACTGGCTCCATATTCCTACAGTCAGGAGCCAGCTCTCCCTGTAAATGTGTTGTGCCATCCTGCAATTTACCTAATGTGCCCATCCCTTTGAGCAGATGATTTGATTAAATAGGAAGGAAGGAAGCAAACATCCTCTCCCTTCCAGTCTAAGATAGCCCCAAACCAATTCTAGGGGCTTTGCTGAGGCTGAAAAGAAGTATACAGCAAGGCAGTAATAGCTCTTTTTCAGCCTAGCAACTTGGCAAGTACTGCCTACTGGTAGACATGCCATGTGCTGATCATCTTCAGGGGCTGCAGCTGACTGCATGCAGCACAACCAACTCTGATTTCTAAAATTCTGTAGGTGGTTTGATTTGTTGGGAAGGGAGAAGTGACAGGCATCCACACTTAATTATCTCGCTTAATCGCCCCAATTCTCACATACTTGCAAATCTTAGCTGAAAGCAAAGTGCTGACTGGCAGTGGTTAGCTAGGTGTATGATTTGCACCCACCCTGAGATACTAAGCTATTATAGAAAAGAACTCCAGATAAATCCATGCACAGGAGGAAGTGAAGAGGAAAAACATGTCCTTGATTGTGGATCAGCTTATCTGGCATAAGTGATTTGATTTCTCAAATGACATGTACCAGCATCTGGAACTTGAGCTGGTAATACCCCCAGGGCCCCTATATGCTGACTCAGGTGTGTATTCACATGCAACAAAAGCACTTTTATGAGCTATTTGTGTGCAAACATTCAGGTTGTCAACAGAAGAATAAAAGGCATTTCTTAAATGCATGGGAGCATACTGCCCAAGGTAGATTTTACATTTGGACAACAGATAAAGGGAGGGGATTACTTTGTATGATGCCGTAAATTCCAAATGATGGGATAGCAATCTAATGTTGATTTATTTTACATTTTTATCACCAAGGTGCTCAATGTGGCATGTACAATTCTCCCCTCCCTCCCCAATTTCCCACCCCCAGAACACCTCTGTAAAGTAGACTAGGCTGATACTATAAACTGGTTCAGACATAACCCCAGGCCAAACCATGTTTCCACACAAATAAGCAGGTTCCTGGAGTCAAAATCCAGGCCCTGCTCCTCCTCTGGTTCTACTGCTGCTGAGCTACTCAGGACTAAACCATGATGTGGCTTAGGTATATGTCTGAACCTTGCCTTGTTGCTTGTCTTACTCCAGACAAATCACAAGCTGTAACCAAAGGCAGTTCTCAGCATACTATGCATGGCTTGTCGAAGAGATACAAATCAGAAGCCTGAGTTCAGGATGCAACACTATGCCAAACCATGGTTTAGCCTTGCATAGCGTGGCAGCAGAATGTCCAGCAGCCACAATCTTCACCGTGGTAACCCACATGAGTTCATATCAAACCACAGCATCCACACTTCTGTTTCTGCCACAATTTCTAGGCACAGGTCAGCGCACGGGTGCAAATGGTGGTTCTGTTTTTGTCCTATTGCTTTCCTCATAAAAAACTGAGGATGACCATTTCCTCCCATTCTGTGGTATGGAGCAGGTTTTCTCACGCACTGAGGCAAAAAACAAAACAAAAAAGCACTCAAGATACACTCTTTAAAGCTGGCCCGTGTCTAGAAACACAGCACAAAAGGAAGTCTGGATGAGCCCTGAGCTTTCCTAGAGAAAGTGGAGAGTCAAGAAAAGAAACCCACTCTGACCCCATGCCTACAAGCTGTGCCTACAAACTGCGGCACGAACCTCAGTCCGGATGATCCCCCAGTTAGGGCAAATGGCCTATGTGTGAACTGGGCCAGGGATTGGCCCCAGGTCACCCAATGTATTTTTCAGACCAAGGATTTGAACCCTGGCTTCCTGGCTTGTAGTCCAACATCCTCATTCTAACTGGCAACGAGGCTGGTTCAGGAAAGGGCTGAGGCAGACGAAAACAAGGGTGCGAACCGCACGTCCCCCGGGGTGTGGATTTTGGCCCCAAGGCGCTCTGCCCATGCTCAGAGGCGCGTGCCCCTGGGGCGAGCAGGTCCATGAGGGCACCCGCTGAGGGGCGGGGCAGCGCCTGCCGTGGCTCTTTTCCCCTCTGCCCCGTTCAGCGCCTGCCTGGCCCGGCCCGGCCCGGCCTTCCCACGTTCCCTCTCGCCCGCATCGCCCTGGCAACCGGGGCCTCCATTCCTCCCGCCTCAGGCCTGCCGGGGATTTCCCCGCGGACGCGCCTGCCAGCCCCTCTCACGGGGCGCGCTTTCCCCCTCCCCCTCCGCAAGGAGAACCCACTCACTCCATTTCCGCCATTTCCTCGCTTTCTTCTCCCTCCCGGATCTTAACTGGGGAGGGAAAACTATTACCTCACCGCACACCCCCACCCTCACCCCGCCACCATAGAGAGCCGGGGCTAAACCGGCCGCGGCACACTTCCGGGTTCTCGCTTACGCCTCTCTGGGCTTCGGACGAGGCGTTTCCATGGCAAAAGGGCGGGGTGAGTATCGAGCGAGTGAGGCGCGCGGGTTTCCTGGCAGCGACGTCACAGCCGCCCTTCCGAAACGTGTCGCCCTGTTCCGCTGCGCTGGGAAAGGATGACGAGAGAAGGAGTTGCATGTGGATTCCCAGGAATGGGTGACGGGGACATTCCTCGTCCCGCCCTAGTCCCTTCTCCTTTCGTATCGCTTCTGTTCAGCTTATCAGCTGGGACTGCGATCCCCTAAAAATATATATTAAAAAATTCCGGGCTACGCCCACGACTGCGTTGCATACATGCAGTACATACAGTACATACAAAACATTTTTCATGATAGGAAAAAGTAGCCCTTTCCATCTTCGTCAGAATGACTTATGACACATGACTGCCCTCTTGAGAAGTAGAGCGCAGCCACCCTAAAGGAGTCAAAAAATGGCACCCTCTCCCCATCGACCCATACATCTTTTCCAAAGGCATTCAAATTATTTTGGGGCATAAGGCGATAAAATATCTCAAGGGCCTCATCTAAGGACCTCATGCTTCCCTGACAGTGAAAAAAATTCATTAATAATAAGTACAATCGCTAAACAGCATTGACCATGATATCCTGAAGCAGCTGTATGGGGGAGGCATGTCACTACCTGGATCATTGTCTTAGATTGTATTTAGCCATGTATCTGTACTTCCTAGGTACCTGTTGTACCTTGTAACCTGTGCCTTGCCTGCTGTGCACCAATCAGATTTATGCCTTTGGCTGAAACAGAGCTGGGAATTTGAGTTCTTTGCCCAGCAGCGAGAGCCAGGAAGACCCTCGCAAACCTAGTAAGACTCCCAGGCTTCACAGCCCTGCTCTCTCTCTCTCTCTCTATGATGACTGAACAAGTAATAGTTGGATATGGTGGTTATTCTGCATTTTGAAAAGTGGTTTGCAATGGAGCCTGTGGCTTGTCAGGGCCCCCTTCTTCATGCTAAAGAAGACATTGCTTCACTCCGTGTGGTTTTGTGGTGATGTGCTTGAGACGTGACTTTCTCACAGGTTTTGCTAGCAGCAAAAATTTGGTAGGTTGGTAGAGCTGATTCTGGGACATAGGTCTCGCTGGTAACTTCCGCTCTCCTTGTATGTAGAAGCATATTGGATATTTCCTCATTTTTCAAAACCCACGCTGCAGGTATTTGATCGGCCGGGCATAAATTTTTATTTGATGGTAGCAAACTACAGAAAAAGCAGGAGATTCTTTTGGGTGTTTCTGTAAGTTTCTAATGAGCCTGGTTATAGGACATTTGATTTGAACCTTGTTGGATCGAAAGACTTAACAGGATGCATTTTCAAAAGTGGTGAGCATCCATATTTTTAGGTGCAGGCTAAGGAAGTTGCATGTGCTGTCTGTGTCCCAGAGCTCTGTTAACCCCCTTTACAAGGGAAAGTCTTTGCATGCAAGATGCTGGTTTTCAAGCATGTCACCATGTCACCACAAAGTGTGAAGGAACAGCTTTCTGGAATGAACAGGAAGCCTGACAAGCCACAAACAAAACCCAACATGGCCTTCTCTAAAAGCTATAGAATAAAAGACTCATCGATTTTTTGTAAATGATATACAAGGCTTCTATCCTGCATTTAGTTGCAGTAAGCCCCGTTTTTATATAAGAGGAGTTACTTCTGGGTAGACAGGTATAGGATTGTGCCTTTACAGGTTGCTCTGAGGAGCTCACTACATGATAGTGCAGAGAGATGTAACTGAGCCCTGGTACTACCTTGGGAGGGGGGAATTTAAAGCAGGGAAGTAGAAAGTGTAAGGCAGCCCCTCCCACCCCCTTCACTCTAAATTTCCACCTCCTGAAACGGCATTTCATTTTAAAGAACTGAGGTTGGGTGACATACATTTGCTTGTGATGCACATTATATAGCTGGTCTCCTGTAGGACAGAGGTGGTCAATTTCGTGCCCTCCAGATATCGTTAGACTACAACTCCCAACATCCCCAATGTTCTCACTCCAACTTCTGCCCTTCTTACACAGACAAAACCAGCATCATGGGAACTGTTCTCGTGTAGTACAATCCCCTGCCTTGAGATGGTGTGAATTTTCCAGCTACGTGGGTGGGAACAACTGCGTATCTCTTTTCCATCCATTCAGCAACCTCCCTTCAGGTATCACGCCAATCAGGTCAGAGAAAGTCACATAAGTTCCCAAGTGACTTGAGTATTCTCCTGAACAAGATGATCCTCTAGACTAGTTTAAGGAGCCATAGCTCAGTGGTAGAACATTGGTTTTGCATACATGATCTCTCAGGTTCAATTCCCAGCATCTCCAGGTAGGGCTGCCGGTCAGTGTAGACAACCTGGTTTTGGACTACAATTCCCATCATCAATGACCCTTGGTCCTGCTAACTAGGAATGCTAGGGATGATGGGAGTTGTAGTCCAGAAGCTGCTGGAGACCCAGTTTGGGCAACCCTGGTGTAGACAATACTGAGCAAGGTGGTTTGACTTGTTATAAGGCAAGTTACTATGTTCCTGTGAGATTGTAATCAGCCAGTTCTGAGTGGAGGCACACTCCTCTGAAAAAATAGGTTTGCAGATTTGTGGTGGTCCTGGACCCTCCTTTGTTTTTTTGGGCCCAAGAGACTTTGAGAGTGGAGAATGCTTTTCATTGACTTTGGCTGCTATACCAGCTGCAACCTCATCTGAACCAAGAGTCTGGCTGTGTAACAGTCTCTCAAGATAAGTGCAATGAGGTCTATATGTGGTTGCCCCTGGGGAGGAAAACAGATGCCGCAATCTGTGCAGGATGCACAAGACAGAGTTGACTGGCACTGCTGATTCAAATGCCATCTCACCGGTCTTAAAAGAACTCCACTGGGTGCCTGTTTCTTTTCCTGATCCAATTTGAAGTGTTGGTGCTTACCTTGAACGTAGGGTTGCCATGTGCACTGCTTTACACAGACCTCTCTTTTGAAGTCCTCCGTTTGGAGGTGTTCTCTGTTTAAAGGGGCTGCCCAGTCCAAATCTGGTTTAAAGGTAAGGAACCCTACAAAGGGAGGGGCCTTGACGTTGCCCATCAACAGCTAGGTCAGTGAGAATGGAAGCAAATCCCCAATGCCAGTGAAGTTAACTCGTTATTCAAGGAAACAGAATGCAACTCAGCCTAGTGGTCTCAGTAACCCTTCCCAGTAGGTCTCACCCATATGGAACAGTTGCCAGGATGGAAGGTCCCTGCCTTCTGCCACCCTTAAGGCCCCCTCCAGGACGTTTCCCAAGCAGTCTCAAACTGTGTCTGCGCACCTCCGCCCTCCTCATTATCCTGTGTAGTCTTGGAGACTGGGGGGGGGGGGAGAGAGAGCTTTTTGCAGCAGGAGGGGAAGACTCCCTGGATTCTTCAGCAGTCTTTTGACACCCCCGCTCTTCTGCTTCAGCCTCAGAATCTGAACTCTTCCCTGTCACAGGCTCTTCCTGCTCACTAAACTCTGCTGCCCCTTCAGCTTCCAACACCTCCTCCTGCCAATCTCTCCCCTTTGACCAATCCTCTGTCTCCCACCACCAGTCCCCTGGTTCTGAGCCTTCCTCCTCTGGGGTTTCCCTGGCTGGTGCCTCTCACTACTCCTCTTCATCCTGCCAGTCCTTGACAGGTGATGTGCATTGGAGCTATATTTAAATTATAGTAACTATTTTTAAATTTGCGGCTATGCATATAAATTACTCTTTGCAAATTTGTGTCATATTTTGGAGGGGAATGCAAAGCCTCTTTATTGGCAATGCATAAGTGGCCACCCTAACTTAAAGCCCTAAATGGCACGGGACCCGAATATTTGAAAGCGATGTCCTCCCCTTCCAGCCTTCTTGCTAAAATCACCAGCCAGTGTCCGTCTCCAAATACCACCTTCGTCTGCAAGAGTCAGGAATGGTGTCCAAGCTATGGAACCTCCCCTCCCCCGGGAGATACATGTGGCACAAACTTTACCATGTTTCAAGCACCAGGCAAACTTAAAAAAAAAAAATCATGCTGGCATTTAAAAACATTTCTACTCCATTGTATTTTGAAACCTTCTGGCTATTAATGACTCTTTTCACCTGGTCTTTGTGGTTTTACCCATGGGGCAGTATTCAACAAACTCATACCATCAGCGTTAAGGACTAATGACTGTACAATGGAAATTCCTCCCCAACCATCCTGCAGAGCAGATTTTGGGGCATAGGGTTCACACTTGTTGGGGGGGGAGGATAAAGAATTGCTTATTATAGGTGGGGGTAGGAGATGAGGGGGAAAGTTCCATTGTGCAAGTGGAAATCTTACCACCAACAGAACAAGAATGTTGGATGCCGCCCTGTATCACTTTTGCAAGTGCACCCCCGCAAGACAAATGCCTCGCAAGACGGAAAACCCGCTAGACGAAAGGGTTTTCCGTTTTGGAGGTGCTTCGCAAAACGAAATTCCTATGGGCTTGCTTCGCAAGACGAAAATGTCTTGCGAGTTCCTGCAGGGTTTTTTTCCTCCCCCCCCCTTTTCCCCAAGCCGCTAAGCCGCTTATCAGCTGATCCGCTAAGCCGCTAAGCCGCTTAACAGCTGATCCGCTAAGCCACTTAACAGCTGATCGCTAAGCCGCTTATCAGCTGATCCGCTAAGCCGCTTATCAGCTGATCGCTAAGCCGCTTAACAGCTGATCCGCTAAGCCGCTTATCAGCTGATCCGCTAAGCCGCTAAGCCGCTTATCAGCTGATCCGCTAAGCCCGCTAAGCCGCTAATAGCGCTAATCCGCTAATGGGCTTGCTTCGCAAGACGAAAAAACCGCAAGACGAAGAGAATCGCGGAACGGATTCTTTTCGTCTAGCGAGGCACCACTGTAAAAGACTATAACTGAAATAACAGGATAAATAAAATATTCAAGCACACTGCTGAAGAGGGTGGGCTCACATCACAGAGGAATGGCATGGTT